TGCAAATGACTCCAGACCTTTTAGTAATTCCTTGATCCAGTGTTCCTCAGGACACTGTAGACTATTGTTAACCAGTCACCTTCACAATATAATTTGAGGATTCGCCACCACGACTGATTGATTGATAATCTTATTCCTTGTAGTTTGTTCATCATTTTATTCTTTCTATAATTTATGGATCAATCTAACACTTATTTATTGAGTACCAACATTGTGCTAATCACTATTCTATTCTAAGCGCCATTCAATGTCTTGGTGAGCTTCCTATGCCTAGAGATGTGTAATCTAAAGTACCTTCTGTTTACTATTATCCCTGAGCTTGTCCAATCAAAGGCTTGCCCCATTTCACATGGATCCATCTCACCTTTTGTATAAAACACGTGGGAGGAGGGGCTTCTTAGTTGGGATTGGCAGGGTCTAGCTTTGGAAGGAATATCCTCTCTTCACCCACTGTTCGCAAACCTTTTCTCCTGGGCCCTCAAGCAATGGGGCGTTTGCTTTTTCAAGCAGCGCCACAGGTTCATACCACAAAACTCTCTCTACTTTCCATTTAAGTGGATCTGGGGCATCTGGGCCGGAAACGTGGGATATACTGTTCTTTGGGACTTCTCTCTCTCTGGAATCCTGTTTTCCCAAGAGAGGAATCTCCTTGGCTATTGTGACCCAGAGGCTTACTCATTTATTCACAAAAGTTTACAGAGTATCTTCTAGAACCTGTACTTTTCCTTTTCTTTCTTTCTCTCTTTCTCTCTCTCTTTCTTTCTCTCTTTCTTTCTCTCTCTCTCTCTCTCTCTCTTTCTTTCTCTTTCTTTTTAGATGAGTCTTGGTCTGTCACCCAGGCTTGAGTGCAGGGGCATAATCTCAGCTCACAGCAACCTCCACCTCCTGGGTTCAAGCGATTCTCCTGCCTCAGCTATCCCAGTAGCTGAGATAACAGGTGCAGGCCACCACACCCAGCTAATTTTTGTATTTTTAGTAGAGACGAGGTTTCGCCATCTTGGCCAGGCTGGTCTTGAACTCCTGACCTCGTGATCCACCCCCCACAGTCTCCCAAAGTGCTGGGATTACAGGTGTGAGCCACCTTGCTCAGCCTAGAACCTGTAATTTTTTTTTTTTAACCAGGTCCTAGGAATATAAAAATGAATACAATTTTTTCCTTAACTAGAAAAACTAGGCACATATCAGCCTAACAAAAATTCACTGTGATAATAATATGCTATTAGCAACAGCTGAGTTACAGCAATTCCAAATACCTACTGAATGCTCATTATTTGCCAAAAATTGTTCTAAGTACATTACACGTGTTATCTTGTTATATATCCATAACACACTTATGAGATTGTTACTTACATTCTTCCATTTTATAGATAAAGGAACAGGGCGCAGGTCCACAGTTACACCACTAAGAAATGGCATAGCTGGGATTTGCATCCAAGCAGTTTGGCTCCAGAGTTGGCACTGTTAGTCACTATTCTACGATGCGTCTCTAGTGTTAGCATAAGGCAGTAGAGGAGAGGCCTCTCCTGTGAAAATCACAACATAAGTGCTACTTGAGCTGGGTCTTGATGGTTGAGTCATATTTCATTAAGTAGCAGGTAGCCGTATGTATGAGGAGGGTGGAGGAGGAATGGAGGGAGGGATTGCTGCACATATGGTTGTATAAGTTGTGCACAATGATGCCCAGCTAAGAAAATGCAGACAGGGGGCTGGAATCTATAGCCCCTCTGTTCACTGGGCTGTGGATCCTGGGATGGCACTTCACCACCTGGGGGAAAGGATGCAATTTGCATAAAGGTACTATATATATTGCTCTTTCCGTCTGGGTTCTGGAGTCATCTTGTGGGATGGATAAACTGTAGAAAATGTAAACTAGAAAAATTGAATTTAAAGGCTTTTTTGTGTTTGTCTTCCAATTCTTGTCTCATAATTCTAGCACTTCAGTACCAAGTGTCATCAACGCTGCCTTCCTGTCATAACCGGGCCTGCCTGCCCCTCAAAATACCCCCCGTTTCAAAATTAATTCTTCCTTCTCCCTAACCATGAGAACATTTACACATTTTATTTATTTATTTTTATTAAATTTTTTTTTTTTTTTTTTT